ACAAATATATAAAACACAAATATTGATGATCAATGACGAAATTTAATTTTTTTGATAGAAAAATAAAACCCGTTGAATAAAATGAATCAATTGAATGGAAACCCGTACAACAACAAAGTAAAGCTTATCTCGCAATCTTCTTAATACACGCGTGAAGTCTCATTCTTCCAAGAAGATTCATGAGATCAAATAGTAATTACAGCGATTACAAGCGATTATTAATTACAAATTATAAAATATCCCATTCTATAAAAAATTAAATTTCGTCATTTATCATCAATATTTTTGTTTCATATATTTGTAACACTTTGTGTAATTAATGTTTATATTTATGTTTATTGGAAAATACTCATATATTAATATAGAATTCTTTCTTTACTCATCATCAACAACAAGGCTTATTTATTTTCTTTTAATAAATTCTACTCTCTTTTATTCTTTTAATAATTATTTTTTATTTTTCATAAACTTTTGCATAAACAAGTCCACACACATAATTAATATATGTTAATATAGAATGGTAAACATGCGGAAAAATCAACAAATGTTGTTATTAAAAAGGAAACCAGAACCAGGTTTTAGAGAAATAAGAATTAACGTTGAACTAAAACAACAAGAAAACAATATTTTCAGTTTCCCTGATTTATGTAAAGAAGCCGGTATAGATCTTACAGGACCAAAACAAAAATATTATCATTCTGGCTCTGAAACCGACGATAACTCTGCAGAGTCTACTAATTCTAATTCCGATTCTGATTTTGATTCAAACAACAATAATGGAAAGAGCAAGAAGAAGAATAAGAACAAGAAAGTGTCAGCAGAAGAAGATCTACCAGACGAGTTTCAATTCAATAAACCTAGTGATGATTTTTTTAAAAGGATACTTGAGAATTCTGAAAAATATGCAGATGAGGAAGAAGAAGAACAGGTTAATAATCATGATTATTATTAATATACATTTCATAATTACAATCATTTTTATTAACGATTGTTGATAATGGTAAGAATATTATTGTGTTATTAGAGTACTAGGAGAAA